GCAATACGCCTCAAGTTCCATCTGCAACCCCTTCCTCGCGTCCTGCAGCATACTCGGCACGATAGGTGGCGCCTTCAACGTCCACCCCATGCGATCCTCAACCAACGTATCCGCATCAATCTTTACGCCTGCCGCATTCGCCGTCTTGGCCACCTCACGGATGATCTTCTCCACCAGCTCCACCGCCTGCGGCGAGCTCGCGAGGAAAGACTGCGTATCCAAGTTGGTGGCCGCGCACACCACGTTCCATGACCCGTTCCAACCCAGCTTGCCCCAGCGTTCAACGTGGATCTCGTCGGTGGCGGCACACGGGAAGCCCGATGCGTCAAACAGCGCGGCGAGGTACTGGATCTTTGACTTGTCGGTTGGGTTGTCCGCGCGGTCGTAGAGACCGATGGTCATTGTTGCGACGGCGCCATCTTGGAGGATGTGGCCCAGGGAGGGCTGACTGGCGGTGATGTAGGCGACGCCTGAGGCGATTGGGTTGGTTGGAAAAGCCTCGCGGTAGGGCTTCTCGATGCCGACGCCGTTCTGGATGAGCACGATGGGGACGTCGGGTTGCAGGGGGAAGCGGGCGAGTGGGAGGGAGGCCTGTGGGAGGACTTTGGTGGTCACGATCACGTAGTCGTAGGCCTCGCCATGGATCTCGTGGGAGTCGCGGATGACGCGGTGGGGGCGGCAAATGTGGTTGCCCCAGTTGCTGGTGGTGATCTTGAAGCCAGACTGAGAGACAATGTCGTAGTTTCCTCGGCAGGCTATTGTGATTTGAACGTCGGCGAATTTGGAGGCGGAGAGAAGGTGGGAGTAGAGTCCGCCGAGGGCTGCAGTAATGGTATGGATTAGCTTGAGCTTGGTTGAACTCAATTGACAGGAATTGGGGTCGGATGCTTACAGCCACCGCCAAAGATGAAGATTTTGAGAGACTTCTTGTTTGTTGCAGATTCCATCATTTCCAGTGCCGGGGAATTGGTGGTTAGAGATAAATTAACGTGGTAGCGGTAGCACTGGGTACGGCAGCATCCAATATGTGATTACCGGATCGGAGTGGGCATGTGAAGTGATAAGCAGGTAGCCGCGGGTAAAGCATTGGTACCGGTCTGAGACCTCATGTAAGAAGTCCTCCTCGATTGAATTTTTTGATAAGGCAAAGCAAAGCAAAGCAAAAAAAAAAAAAAAAAAACTATTCTAAATTTCCAGATCAGGATTTAAATTCTGGAGGAGAAGATTTGGTACGCAGTTGGAATGGTTACTCTGGGTCGGGGTTCGGGTTTCTGATAGCAGTGAAGTGACTACCCCACGATGGAGGAGGCCTCAAAAGGGCGCAGATTCGCAAAACTCATACTCCTCCAACTGGCCTCCATATTTTTTGATGCATGTAGGTTATGTTTATGGGTGAGGATAAATCATATTCGAGAGTCCAGTGATTGGCCGTGAAAACGACCCCCCAAGTGCCGGAGGTGTCGCTACTCTAGATATCTGGTACGCACATCCCCTTGGCATCTCAATGGACGAGTTTAGAATACGCATCGCATACAACAGCTTCCCGATCTCATTTCAAGCTTTCAAGTCTGCTGTTTAGTCCAGAAACCTCAACTGAACAATCGTTACATGAGTGGGACATGGATCAGCACTCGCTGTGGGGTAGCGGGTGTCTGTCTGTCTGACAGCCGCGAAATAGATTAACAGCTGCAGGGTAGACAAGTTCTTCCTACGAAAGCGGAGGACAGGCACGGAAAGCCGTACTCCTCGTCTCGCATACTCTAGCGGCACAGGAGCGCTGCACCGGAAACAATAGCTGTCCAAACACCCAGAGAAATGATCGCTCGTTGAGAAATGATCGGGCCGCCAAGTGTCTCAGGCCCCGTTTTGCAGACCAAGCATTTCTCAGCCTCAACAGCCCGGCCCCCAAACCCCGCCATTCCAAGCTTCCCCGTGCAGCAACCGAGAAGTAGTGCGATAACGGCCACCCAGACTGAGACCGAGACTGATTGAGCCCGATCAAATTGCAATATAGCGCCATACGAATACGATATATACAAAGATATATTACCGTAGTAGCAGCTGGTCGCGTGGGTCGCAATATATCCACAGACACTGTTTTTCTTTTCTTTCTTTCCTTTCTCCAATCAACATTCACATCTCTTTCAACAGTCGCAATGGCAGCTTCTACTACACGCAATGTCGAGGTATGGGGAGACACAAGCAGGTCCGTTGGCCTGATCGGCATGGGCGACATGGGCAAGATGTATGCGCGCTGCATCGCCGGCGCCGGGTGGAGGTACGTCTGTCTGTCCATCTGCTACCGCTGCTGCAGCACCTCCGGGCGATTATACTGAGATAGCGTAGAGTCAATGCCTGCGACCGCGCCGAAAAGTATGAAGCGCTGAAGGAGGAGTTTGCAGGTATATCTCTCTTCTCCCTCTACCTCCTTTTTCTCTCTCCCCCCCCCCCCCCCCCTCTCTTCCTGTTTGTAGGAGGAGGAGAACGCTCGCTCAGCAGTGTTTATTGATGGCACATTCCTTGTTGACGCTCTAGAGAGATTGAAAACATCCACATCTACGTCAACGGGCACTTTGTCGCGCGCCAGAGCGACTACATCATCTACTGCGTCGAGGCCGAGCTCATTGACGCTGTCGTCGCCGCATACGGGCCTTGTGAGTCAAGTCGCACCTGGGGGAGCTATGATGAAGAGAATGGGGAGCTGATAGCAAGGCAGCGACGAAACTCGGGGCGATAGTCGGCGGACAGACGTCTTGTAAGGCGCCGGAGATTAAGGCGTTTGAGAAGCATCTGCCGTCGGATGTGGAGATTGTGTCGTGCCACTCGCTGCACGGGCCGAGCGTGAACCCTGCCGGGCAGCCACTGGTGAGTAGCTGGCCCGCCCACCCTCGCCGGCGGAGAGAAGGCTGATGTTGGGAATCCGGGAGCTGCGAAATAGGTATTGATCCGGCACCGGTCGTCTGATGCGAGCTTTGCGCTGGTTGAGCAGATCCTGTCGTGCTTCCGGTCAAAGTTTGTCTATTTGACCGCGGAGGAGCACGATCGCATCACCGCCGACACGCAAGCCGTGACACATGCGGCATTTTTGAGGTTGCAAATTCTGAATTCCGAATACTCGCAATATTATATACTAATGGATGGATCGGTGTGTCAATGATAGCATGGGCACGGCCTGGCACGCAAACAATCAGTTCCCCTGGGAAGTCACGAAATGGCGTAGCGGCATCGAGAACATCAAGATTAACATCACACTGCGCATCTACAGCAACAAATGGCACGTCTACGCCGGTCCGTCACCTCCCCTCATCCCCGTCCTCTCGCCACTACTAATAGAACCGCAGGCCTCGCAATCCTCAACCCGTCGGCCCAACAGCAGATCCGCCAATATGCCAGCTCCGTCACCGAGCTGTTCAAGCTCATCCTAGAGGGCAAGCGGCAAGAGTTCGAGACGCGCATTCGCACGGCCGGCGAGTTCGTCTTTGGGAAGCAGCGGGACGAGCTGCTGCTGCGCGACGACATCCTTGACCAGTTCTCGCTCAGCGGGGTGCCGAAAGCCGAGAGGAAGCCGAATAGCCATCTGTCACTGCTGGGAATGGTCGATTGTTGGTGGAAGTGCAATATTGTGCCCTATGATCACATGATATGCTCCACACCTGTATGTGCGCCCTTTTCTTTTCTTTTCTTTTTACTGCGTCTTACTGTGTTTGTGAGGGAGAGAGAGCCGTGATAACCGTACTTGCTTTCTTGCTTGTTTTCTGTGTTATGTCGTACATTGTGGGAACCGCGTAATCGGCGGGGTAATGATTAGCGGGACGGGATGGCTGATGTGCGGCGTAGCTGTTCCGACTGTGGCTGGGCGCAACCGAGTACCTCTTCCGCCAGCCCGATCTGCTGGACGACTGCATCCGCTTTGCGCTCGACGACGATTCCTTCCGCTCCGACGATCTGGAGTTTACGTTTGCCGCGCGGGTATGTTGTTGTTACCCGGGTCTTTTGTTCTTTGTCTTTCCTGCCTTGCCCACCCCGGCCCCCGCATGTATCATATTATCACTCCCCCACAAGATCTCATTATCCACCATTACCTACCGCACCTGCTAAGCATTCATATACTCCCCCCGCTGCCTTACCCCTGCCCCCACCCATCCCCTCACTAACAAACCACAGGGCTGGAGCGACGCCGTCTCCTTCGGCGACTTCAATTCCTACCGCCTCCGCTTCGAGAAGCCGCAGGAATACTTTGCCCCCCGCTTCCCCGAGGCCACAAAGCTGGGGAACGAGATGATCAAGACCATCCTACAGAAGATGAAGTCTGTCGAGGAAGCCGGTGCTTCTACCACTACTACTGCTGCGAGTGCTTCATAGTAGAGGGTGGGGAGGGGAAAGAGGGAAATGATCGTTCTTGCATGTTTTTTTTAGATGTGGAATCGAATACCTTTTTCTGTCTTTTTGGCGTCACAGTGAATGATGATTTCTGAGTGCAGGGACCAGAGTCGTAATTATGCTAACGTGACAGAATAAAAAAGAGAAAACCGCCGTGAAAGTACATGCCTCGAATGAGAAGATGGGAAAAAAAAGCAAAACAAAAGGGCATAAAAAAGAATGAAAACTCCTCCAAAACCCCCACGTAAACACCAAAACAGTCGACATAAACAGTCCCCCCCAATTGGTCCTCCGTCTAGATTAGATTAGTTCCACTCCTTTTGGGGATGATTTTGGTTATGGCTATTGCTGACCGCGTACGCTGGAGAATACTCGTTTTTGCTATTCTACAAATGGGCCCGACCACGCCCCTCCGCCGTCATGTAAGCCATGTGTAACCCTTTCTATAACAATATATATAAACCAAAGGGAAGTGGCGTAAAACGAAAATAATAAAAAGAAGTGAATGGTAATCAATAAAGCACTCATTAAACCGCCCCTCTCCCTCTTAACATGCTTTCCCCCAGACCACAAAAGCGGACGGACAGTCATACATTCCCCAAAACATTCGTTCATTTCATTCACATGACTTCTTTCAACGGAATAGACTTCTGTCTCCTTACCTCTCTCGACCGCTCCTTGAGCAGATAAAACAGCGCATACAGCGCTGCCATGATCGCCACAACCACCAGATATGTGATAACCCATCCCCTACTCGCGTTCGCTAGCTCGGGGCCCAGCCCGATGCCGCCGTTGACGATGCCGAGGATGATGACGATGCGGCCGAACCAGATGTGCGCATACGACCAGGCGGAGCGCGTGCCCGTGATGAGGAACTGGCGGTGGTGCATCTGGCCGAGCACGCCCTGCAGCGGCAGCAGGCACACGATGATGATGCCCATCACTTGGTGGTAGGAGCGCCATTGCTGTTTTGCGATTAGTTACTTGCGAAAATACACTTTTCCAATTGTGGCTGGTTGGGTAAATGTATGGGTAGAAGGTTAAATGATATATGCGGAATAGGAAGGTGGGTAGGGGAAATTGAGATTAGAAAAGAGGGTATATAATTTTTTGATATCAATTGGACCAAGGATAATTGGAGGTTCGGGAACCATCTAGGGGTAATGATAATGATATATATTAGGCTCACAGGGAGACCTACCGTTCCAGTCATACTGCTCCTCCACACACCCATGGTCATGCCGATGAACGCCAATATCAGATTAAAGATCTGCACGCCGCGATGCAGCGCCAGGGCGTTCGGGACCCGATTGTTCAGCAGCCGGATGAGCGCCGCACCGAACGGGAAGAGTAACACGAATGTGACACCCATTATGACACCTAAGAAGCAGCACCAGCACAATATAAGAATCTGTCTGTCTCTCTCTCTGCATGCATGCACAACGCAAAAGAATATAGCTAAGAACGAATAAAAGAAGAGAAAAATAAAGTTATACAGGGCCCACCCATCATGCCCCAGGCATGCAGCGGCAATAAAACAGACGTGACAAGAAACAAGTATTTCCAATGCGGCGTAGCTGTTGATGGCTGCCCTGCAGTGTTTCCGCCGGGGTATTTGTGTATGTGTGTGTGAGTATCAGGGGGTATATATATGAATCGGAACTCGCAAGGGTTGCCAAAAGAGTGTAATATATATAATCGAATCGCTGCTTCTTGCTCTTTTTGCTGTCGCCTGGGGTTGTGATTTTTCACACTACATAAAATGACAAAAAGTAAACGCCGCAAGGCTCAATACCATACCATGTGCAATCAATACCCTATCCGCCTTTGTCCTCGGCGCCGCGATCGAGCTCCCAGTCGACACTATCGAGTCGTTGCTCGTAAACGGGTTCGTATCGTTCCCACCAGTCGCCGCGACCATGTTGAGAGTGTAGAAACCATATAGCCTGTGCTGGTGGATTGTCGCAGATTTATCTGTAGTTGCGACTTGTTCGTTGTTGCCCACGGACCACAGTAAGTTCTGAGCGGTGCTGTTGACATCAAGTGATCCACCATTCCATTCCCGACAGTTGGCACCTACAATGCTGTAGTTAGAAGCTGCTCAGAGGGCAAAGCTGGGTCGGGTTGAGATTTACATCTGATATTGGCGGTCATGATACCGTTTGCGACACCGCTCCCGTCCAGCAGCTCGTACTGGATCGATTCCTCAAACTCGGGCTCGAATTCACCACTATAAATTTCACCATATCAGATCGACGTCGTTCCTCTTCCCTCCCCCATCAAAAAATAGGGAATTCAATCCGTACAGTCCAAGTCGCGCCGAAGCCGTAACTCCTCCGCTTCCCGTCCGAGTAGATGACAAACATCAATGCGCCCTTCATCCCCGTGCCAATTCCCGTCCCAACCCAGCCAGCGGATGCGGGTCCGTTGAGTTGGATGAATGTGTCATTGCCGGACGCGGGGATGTTGAAACTCGCCGAGTAGCCGGCGGCTGATCGGTTTATAAATGTTGATATTTGGGCATTGCTCACAGTGGCTATATTTATTTGAAAGAAATGTATATATAAGTTGTCTTGTTCTTTGATTGTTTGAGGGAGATCAAAAGTTGGTGGGTGGTACACACCAAGTGCCAATACTGATGAAAGAGCCTTTATCGTGGATCTGAACGAAACCATTTTTATGTATAGATTTCGATTTTTTTTTTTAATTCCTGCCGGTGTTTGTCGACTCGCGCTTACCGGGGGTATTTAAAACCTAGGGAAGTAGTGGTAGTGGCAGTAGGTAGTGAATATTAAAGAATGTCGAAATATGCTTGGTTGCTTCTGTTGTTGAACACCACCTGCACTCTCACGGCGAAGAGAGGGACTGGGCAGCTAGCTGGATGTACGAACAAGAGAAGAAGGGGAGCAGAAAATGCCAGAAACAAAAAAAAAGTGCGGATTCACTTGAACTTGTACCGGTAGGGGGGTGGAGGGATAAGGCAAAAAAGTTCGCCCAAGGTGTAGGTAAAGTATGCATACTGTACTCTACTCTACTAAGATTCGGCTGGATTCATAATATCCTCCAATAAGCGGCCACCATCTCTCTAAATTCCCCCACTGGCTGAGACATTGTTCTACATTTTACTCTACGCTCCCCTACACTAGCTCTGGCAGCGTCCCTAAAACATAGTCAGCACGGGGCAGCGCCGCAGCACTGGTAAAGCCTATCCCAGCCCCCACGACTGATTTGCCAAAAAAAGAAATTTTGGACTTGAATAGCTTCTCCGTTTAAGCTAGGTCGGTTTCCTTTTTTTGACGGGAGAAGCGAACGGGATGTCGCGCTGGCTGCCCTGCGAGATGTGCTGTAGCAATAGAGTACATATTTCGAGGTAGTTATAGATATGTATATATGTATGTAGTATTGGCCGTGATGATGATGATGATGATGATGATGATGATGAATTCGGTATGTATGTATTGTTGCCCTGAAGAATGTCATATCCCTAATCACAAATCACATGGCATATGCCTACAAGCTACGTAGACACCGGGGGGGAGTACTTCTGACAAAGCCTAGGCCGGAAGATAGGCAATTGATATTCGGAATATTACGTCCCATACCCATAGATACTCCAGATACCTACATGTAGCTACATTCTATTCCCAGCTGATATTCCCCAGCTGAGGAGTGTAGCACGTTAGAGTAACATGTAGGGGCGCTTCCAAGTTCACAAAAAAAAAAAAAAGTAGGGGGGGCTGAGTCCTTCGTTGTTTTGTCGGTTGCGGTCCATTTTGGCTTTTGGGTGACCTGGGGCCCTGAGAGGGTGTGTGGACCAGCCGAAACAGTCCTTGCCTCTTCCGGGGTAGCACTGTTCTCAGGCGAAATGCTTGTTCGAGCTAAGCTAGCGGGCCCTGCTGATGTCTCTTTTTTTACCCAGGGTCTGCATCTAGCTTTTGTGTCTACATGTAGCCCTAGGGCCAATCGCTAAATAATAGATTTAAAACAAGGCCGTGGTATGCAAGCTTGTTTCTGGGTACATGTAATATTCAATACCTCAACCTCACGACTCGTACGCTAGCATTCCCTTCAGAATTCCAACTGCAGCAATACATGTACCGACATTCGTCCACAAACAACTGCTGATGTTGGGAAAGAGAGCATAAGTGCTGAACGGGGTTGTCTCTAATCCGTTTCAATGCCACCACCTCCACCACCATTACCACATCGCTCCATGCAATCCCTGGTTTGCTGCGCTGCACTTGGCTGGCAGCCACCGCCATTGGGTTCTGCACCACGGAATGCCCTTGGGACCTCAGACTTCACTAAACGAGCAAATAGGAAAAAGGAGCGTTTTACTGGCTACCGAAAACCGAGAATCAGTGCCTGCATGAGTAGTTTCATAACACGTTGGCCCAGGTGCGACGACGACGACGTCGACTCCGCGGTCAATCGAGCTGATAAGCTGGGCTAGCCGGCACCTATCTGTTTACCTGGCCACTATGTAAAACCCCCCAGGCACGAATAACGGCCACTAGGCTCCCGCAACATCTCATGTCTAGATATCATCACCAATGGTGTGCACATGGTGATGATTGATAGATAGACTGGGACGGCCTGTCCAACGATGGGTCGCCGTCAGATATAAGCCTTTCTGGAAACAGGACTCGTCATCAACGGCTAATCATCCGTTCTTCTATCAAATTCTACAGACCGAAAAATGTCCCCATGTAACTACAACGCACTGCCCGCAGCTTTTGTCCATACAGGAAATTCATCAGAGGAGAGGAATCTCAAGAAAAAGAATGAAAAGGACAAAGAAAAAGAAGAAAAAGAAGAAAAATTTCGCATGTAGACCCCTCTATTGAAAGCCTCGCCAACCCCCAACCCTGTATACTCGGATAGTGAAAGATACTAAAGAAATTTTCCATACTCATGTCCTTCATTTCTAGTAGCGACTACACACTAAAGAATCATTTTACCTTTTTATGGCCCACCCTCGCAATTTCTGTACAGTCGTTACAGGCATTGATACAGAGAGGTGACTTAAAAATCTAATCATAGTCAGTCTCGGGTCTTTTTCTTAGAGGAGATTGATAGGAATATACAAAAGTCAAAGAAGACTCGATCTTCTTTCAGTTTCGGGAGTCTCTCCTGATCTCGTGCCTGTTGGTATGCCTCCGTGAACTTAGAATGATCATTTACATCCTCATCGCAATCCCGGAACGACATAGGTTCGATACGGCAACGCTCTAATGAATGGAAATTGGAGTCTTTCCAGAAGTCCCCACAGATACGATAAGGTTTCCAGCAGAGATACGAAACGTTAGTACAACATTTGCGGATTGTGCTACAGAGATGCGATCTCGTATGCGACATTTCATCTGCCGTGGAATTTCCAAAAGGATCAACCCAAACAAAGTAGATAAGACGAGTGATCCGACCTGGGTCAGGCAACTTTTCGATTGCACGCGCAAGCCCTGTCAAACTGTTAATGATGTACAATCATGAATATGTTTTGAAACCCGAAAGACTACCTCCAGAAGTAACTAATTTGCAATCCACAATCACAAGGGTCGTCAAGTTTTTAAGCTTCGGGCAAAGAGCTGCCAGACTCCTATCAGAAATTTCCGGACATCGCTCCATCGTAAGCGCCTTCAAAATGATTTCGTTGCCACCTTTTAACTGGAAGATCTTTGAATTTTTGAGGTTATTGAAGTTTGTTGCAGCGTTCTCCTGACAATGAAAAATCCTGAAATTCTCCAGGTTTGGATAGTTTCTCGACAAATTGATCCAAATATTATGGGCCACAATGCCCTTGCTCTTGTCATCCTTGATTTGAATTTCTCTCATCATTGGAAATTTCTCGAAAACCAGGTTAAATCCCATGATAGCACCATGCATGTTCACCGATAGTACTTGAAGTTGGGGGCAGCTCTGCATCATCCTGGTAAATAGTTGTGCCAAATCACTGACTTTTGGCATCTCCGCTAACTGCTTTGAAGGACTTCTGTCATGGGCCATATATGATGCCCCACCATGTATGTTTACTTTGATGGCGCGGACCATATTACCCAATTCCTCGTCTTCGCTGATTGTCCGGACAAACCGCTCAAAACTAGGAAGTTTGTTCAGATTGACATACTTACAGACAATCTGTTGGCCTAGATGACGCCAATAGTGGCAGGAACGGAGAACTGCCCTCAGACGTCGATACCTTGTTGTGGTAAAGCTGGTATCAAATTTGAAGCTATTTCCAATGTGGACATTTTTCGTTTCCATTTGGTCCTCCGGCATGAGGCCGTCGGCGAGATAGCTGAAAATCGTCGTCAAAGTGTCTTCGGACAATTTTCTAATGCCGGTGACTGCTCCATCAGAGTAACGTCCAATATGGCTCCTGTCAGCTCTAACCATTACTGATTTTGGTCCATCGAATTTCGGCGCTTCGAGGGGCTCGTCTGGTACCGACTCTGCTCTTTCAACGTTTCCATTCAAAGCAACTCCTTCCTTGGGGGTTTTCTTTTTTTCCCTCTTTTTTGGAACCAACTTTGTAGACTGGACAGCTTCGGCTCCCATGAATTTACCAAGAGGTACGCCTCCATTATCATCCTGATCTGGCAAATCTCTGGCCGCATGGGCTTTTCTGATCCGATACTTATTTTTCTTCCCGGTCTTTCTAGCTTCCCGTTTCTCAATAGCCTCATCATCGGACCATTGTTTGTTGATCCCTTGAAAATCCCATGTATCGACGTCGTCATCATTGACCCGATTTCTCCTGGTTTTTGAACTTGCAAGACCCTTTTCTTGACAAGGACCCCCATGATTACCCTCACAAAACCAGCAAGCCCCCGCCCGAGGAGTTGTAGAAGGCTCGTCCTTAGGGTTTTCTTTTGCTACTCGAGGATAGGGGGACGGAGTCACCTTTGCGTTTTGTTCTACCCATTTGAGGGAGGGAATAGGAACATTGTCCAGAATACGGGCCGAAGTAGAAACGCGAGCAGGAACGGGGGCACGAATAGGGTCAGAGGCACTTTCAGGAACGGTGGCAGGGGCGGAAGACTTCGCCTTTACGTTTCGATTTTTGTACTTGGGGTTTGATTTAGGAGCACCCGTGACAGGCCGTGAAGATGATAAAAGAGATGCAGGTGGAGGTGATACCGGTGCTGACCGAGACTGCGTCGGTGGTGTCGGTCTTATTGTAGACGGCGTCGGTGGTGTCGGTCTTATTGTAGACGGCGTCGGTGGTGTCGGCGTTATTGGGGGTGGTGTTGGTGGTATCGGTATTACTATAGACGGCGTCGGTGGTGCCAGTGGTGCCGGCGCTGGCAGAGACGGTGTCGGTGGTGCCGGCGCTGGCAGAGATGGTGTCGGTGGTGCCGGTGTTGTTGGTGAGGGCGTCGGTGGTTCTGGCGCTGGTACAGATGGCGTAGGGGGTGCTGGTGTTGGTAAAGATGGCGTCGGCGTCAGTGGCGATACTGGTGTTAGCAGTGGCAGTGGTATTGGGTTGAAACCTTTCTCGCCCGATTTTTCTTCAGCAACAGAGATATTACCCTTGGTAAACTGGCCGGGTTTTTGTAAATTGGCGGCCAGAATAGGATCTTCGCTCCGCGTGCCCTCCTTATTCGTTATACTCTCTGGTAAGAAAACCTTCACGTCATCAAACACTGTATCAGTGCTCGCGGGGTGATTCCTTGTGGGGGCCTTTTTTTCTGCAGGGGCCTTTTTTTCTGACGATTCATTTTTCCCCGGTGACAAAATATCTGCAAATCATATCAATGTTCAATGTTCAGTATATATATATATCGTATGGATCATTACCAATCCAGGGATCCGGATTTGTTTCCTTTTGAGTTTCCCTTTCATTATCCCAAAACAATCTCACTGCATTCCGGTCGACATAGGGCTCGGGCTTGGGCGAATGCCTAATAGAGAGGTCCGCTTGTTGGAACAGCTCGGGTGTGTACCTGCCCGAACTTTCAGAGCCCGAGTCTGAATTTTCAGCTGTATAATGTAATAAGCCCGGTTGATGGTCATTCGGGTCGTCTTTTGGTTGACGTATCTTGGAAATCAGGTTCTGATTTGTGTGTAGCCCTGACCCAAGCCTGCTATTATACTTGCCACCATGAGAATTCTTTACATCTCCGCATTTAATAGCTGGTAGATGCGAGGGTTCTATAAGAGTCCGCTTTTCTGCATGTTGTGGCTGATATCTATTATTTGTCGGGGCATGATTGTTTTCAATTCTGCGGTTTGGGGGAGTGTAATTCACTAGGGCCATCGTACCATTGGCAGTTGGATGAAAGGTTTCTCTATCCTGTAGCTTATTTCTGCTGTCAATTTGATAATTCATCTCACCTCTTTTATTCAGATCAGAGGTCCAGTTGTGGTCTTGGGGGCTTATTCTCGCTGTGTTATCTGGCGGGTGGTTGTCGCCACCGACTAATGAATATCCCAAGGACTCGGATCCAGTCTGAAAGGGTCTTCCTTGCCTGGAGTTGGATACACCACTTCCTGGACTGCGACTATTCATGGTTTTATTTCCGGATATTGAGTATCCTGGTTGATAATCACGGTCAACGGGCGAACCCACAGAGCCATGTGCGCTTGAGTCAGTCCTAAAGGATCCGGGAAATTTAGCTGAGGGAGTCGCAAACTGCTGGCGAGCTGTAGTCCCTCTACCGCTGGTATATCCTCCATTGTTACCGTTGATGTACCCTCCGTTGTTACCGTTGATGTACCCTCCGTTGTTACCGTTGGTGTACCCTCCGTTGCTATCGTTGGTGTACCCTCCGTTGCTACCGTTGGTGTACCCTCCGTTGCTACCGTTGGTGTACCCTCCGTTGTTACCGTTGGTGTACCCTCCATTGTTACCATTGGTGTACCCTCTAGTGTTACCGTTGTTGTATCCCCCACTGTTACCGTTGTTGTATCCTCCAGTGTTTGAGGGTCCATTTTCGAACCGATCAACTGAACCCTTGGAGTAATGATAGCCGCTGTTTTCTTGCCGAAAACCAGTCCTGGGACCCGTGGGTTTCCGAGATTGATCGCCACCAAATGTTTGAGGAATTGCTATCTCCCTTGCCAGAGAACCTTGACTCTGCAAAGTACCGAGGTTACCTGCTGCTGCTTGATTGGGCCATTGACCATTGGGAAAGCTAGGTCCGCCCGGGGTGCGTCCTCTTCCTCCATGCATCCTTTTTTGTAATATCACATCGCGCGGAGCTGGGATATTTCCACCTGTATTCCTCATAAGCTGAAGTAGCTCATTCTGGATATTAATGGCTTGTTTTGGTTTATTTCTATTCGGGGGGGTAGAGTCCGTTTGAGAGGCACTAACAGAAAAAACACCGCCATTCGGTCCTGATTTGGTGTTACTTTGACCGATTGGCCTAAAGCTTTGCTGACCACCTCCAGTGTTATTCGCGTGGGGTAGAGGAGCATGGCTCGGGAGAAATTGATCTTGATATATCCCCTCATTCGAATATTCCTGAAAACCATTGTCATTACCATGAAATGAACTATTTTGATTGCTTCTGTGGTGGGTTTGTCTATGGGGGTAAAAATTTGGTGCCCGCATTGGCGGCGGCGGTGGTGGTGGTGGTGGCGGCGGCGGCGGCGGTGGTTGATCATAATTCATCACTCGTTGTTCGTGCATGACGTCATTTTGATATACGGACGGACGGGATACCTCTCTTGCCATCCCTTGATATGATGCGTGCCTGTTAAGGCTGGGATTGTATGGTGAACGACTAGATTCTGGTCTATGGATAATTGAACTGTCCCTAGGCGGTTGGATATGGTTCATAGCCGGCGTAGATCCTCCCCGTGGCTCATTATCATAGTTCGCTTGTCCATTGTAGAAATTCCCGCCTGAAGGAGATTTAAAGATAGAAGAACTTGCAGTAGGGCCGTTGTCTGGTCTCCCAACTGTGATTGAATCAATAACATATCTAAGGGGGGCATCGTAGTCCATTGACCTCTCGGCTTGTGATAGATCCGCCTGGTTAGTCAATGATACACCGCCATTCATCACAGAATTCTGTGCCTCTATTACAATATTGGCCTTGCCAGTACTTCGGTTGTCGACTCCCACCTTTGGAAGTGCGGCCATGGCAGCATCTCGTTGCTGTTTCGAGACATGCTGCCGGCTAATACTATCGTTATCGGCGCCTGAAGCAGCTCTCGGCATCTGGCTTAAAGTAGGTCTTGATTCAGCCACTTGGGCCTCTCTCAAAACGCCGGACGGTAATTGAACGCCGGATGATATGTGGATCAATGGGCAATTTTCCTCTCGAGAGCAGTAGTCTAAGATTCGTTTTAGTCATCCTTGTGTATTCAGGTTACATTCCAAGGGCATCATTTGCGCTCAATACTTTTCCTCAAGAAATGATCTCTGCACAACGGCTTAACGTCGCCGGGCTCAATATTGTGCTTCCAGGGGCAACCTTGTGTGGAACATTTTGCTGTAGGTTATTAGTTTATATGTGGCATGGCGCTGAGGCAGTACGATGATGAAGATGGGGCGCGGAAGAAGTTGGGCAAGGTATCCTTACCAAAAATCAACTGCTTGCGACACAGGATAGAACCATTGCTCCGCTCAAACTTCTCTTGCTCATACTCGAGCTCCCCCATCCCAGACATAGTGACGAGATTTGGGTCCCTTTGTTGTTGTACTTAATTTGACGGATTAGCCAAGTGATCGTAAGAGTGTCGGGTTGTTGGTCAGTGGAACAAAAAGACAAAAAACAGAAGTCGTTTTCGAATGGGAGGAAGCGGCTTGACGAAGAGAGCCAAACAGACGTGAAATTGAGTAAGTATAGAAGTGTAGAGGAGCGCGCTTGGGATTAAATTGATGTATATAATGCGAGAGGGGTGGGGTGTTGAGATGAAGAGGAAGATGATTACGATGATTATGACTGATATGGATTGTAAAGGAGGCGCTAATGGAAAGCGCCAGATTGAGGAAGATGAAACTAGAGAATTATGAGGGGGCGGATTCCGATGGGAAATATAGGAAGCAGGGCAGCACCCGTCGGGCTCTTGGGAAGAGACAATTGCACAACCGATAGTGATAGTGAGTGAAGCTGTGGTGATGACAGAGGTGCGTACTAGTTAGGTAGTGCGCAGATACAGAGTCCCACTATAATGAGAGCGCCTTCAGTCTATCAGACGAGCGGGGTACAGGGCGGACGAATACTCTGGTACCAGGAAAAGCGCATGTAGGCAGGTATCGTCAATCAGTACAATTTCATGTAGTTGTGGGGGAATTGGTGTGTCGGTTGCCTGAATCTTGCACGGGCCACACAGAAACCGTTCACCTTTCTATGTATGTAGACTATTACGCATTGCGCGCATGGCTCCCGCCGCCCCCATATATCGCTTAATTGCATCCCATGCAGCCTGCGCCTAAGACACCATGATTGCGAATTGTCGCTCTCCACAGAAGGCTTGCCAAGCAAAGTACCCATCAATAAGAAGGCACTTAAGGTATCAGCTTCTGTCTACCAACGTCACCCAGGCCAGGATGGAAAGAAATATATCAAATAGACTAGCAGTACATACATGTACCTAGCGCACTATATATTGAGGTAAATGACGATTGGGCTTGCAATCATACTTCTTGCAAAGAGCACTGGAAGCTGGGTCGATACAACAACGAAAGGCTTATCTCGTCCACTTTTGCATACATGTATGTATTGTCATTGGCGGTTCGTCTCTTCCGGAAGATTTAACTTCAAGTCTACAGTGGGGTTTACAGATAGATACAGAAATGAGCCTTAGCAGTATAGTGCTGGAAGACAATGGACATGCCAAAGTATGAATCATTAGGACTGTGTTGGGCGGTACTATTCTGATAAAGGAGCCGAAAATCCATTGATACATGTAGTCATATCTACATAACCGGTATACCTGTCTCTGTATAGGCGGAATCGAACCTCCTCTTAAGATACAGTGACAAACTTCAAGAGTTTGGACTGTCACCTGAACTGGACCGTAATCTATTGAACTGGGCCCATATCAGACCATTCCACGGCCAACATTTTCTTTTCTTTCATCCCAAATATTTTTCCCTGAACAAGAGCAAACCTAGATAGCCTCATTAGCAATGGATCCACAACCTGAACCATTCTTAAACACCTCCAATCCATCCAAAACATGGTCATCCAGTTCCTGGTATTCACACATGGGCGGAACTTGGCAACTAGAATGAGGAAATCGTTATGCGCGGAGCATAAAAAACTTAATACGTACCGTCTTCTCGTTCTCCCACATACCGGCACTCCTTGCGATTACGCCAACGATGGTGTCTGGATCGTTCTTGGTGAACTTCCCTTCTTCCTTGTGCCTGGAGACCACAATACTCCTTCCTATAATCTCCCACACTTCTACCGGCTTATCCAGTAGCACAGTACCGACACCAGTTAAACCCACTTCCACAGTTCCGAGCCGGCCCCGCGACGGTTCGTTATCTTTGACCTTTTCATCTTCCCAGATACCGCCTGTTGAGACTGCCCCTTGTGAGATATCTCCGGTAGCCCTGACTGTAGCATGGTAGGTCCCCGGTGATAGCCCACGAATAGTGAGATCGAAGATTGTAAGCTTTGCTGAAACTTGAACCATACGTACAAGACCGCGGACAGGATCTGCGATGCCTGGGGTATGTGTTTCTAGGATAGCTACGGCGGCGCCTGGGTTCAAGTCAATTACAGTCTGTTCGTACATAATGGGGAGTATATCTGGTGAAGAGTGAATGGCATACTATTAGGATTCCCGCTCCCGCGCAGGATTGCATCTCTTCCGGTGCTCTGAATTGCTGATACTATTGCTGAGGGTGCCGCTTAAGGGAGGTTAGAATTTTCTTCCGCGCTGGTAGATAGAAGCAACGGAGACCGGCGTTTCATACCCGTCCCTTCGACCGAAACTAATTGCTTCACAAGATCCGCATCCACATTTAAGATGCCTTTTGTAGACCGAGTAAGTCGCTGCATGGCCGAGAGAAAGGAATCAGGGTCAAGAAATTACCAGGAAGCTGCTGGAGTGATTTCGTAACATCATTAACGCATGAATCGCATTCTAATGGAACTGCGAAAAGGGTCTGTAAATTCACACCTTTTATCAGCTTATCGAGCTTGTCAATATAAGTAGAAAGGGAATTTGGACCTTGAACGGGTGAATCATGGCCGAGGTTTTAGAACAGTCACCGAGTAAACATAAAGTATAGGTACGAGGAAGAAGTCAACACAGAGTCTATATATCGGTAAGACGACAAATAATATTTCGGTGAGGGGCAGTCAAGTGGGGTGTTGAGTATTATTTTGGAGAATGTTCGCGCAATTGCTTGGTAATACATAGACTATGACAGTCCTTTCTGGGTCAATGGCGAACCTAGTTCAATAGCGAATGCATATGTACTTATTGAACAGTTAAAAACTGGCCTATTTACAAGTATAGATATTTGCGAATGTCAAAAAGAGTGTGCTTCTAATTGTGGGATTATGTGCCCTTAGGAAAGTAGAAAAAGCCGAGTCATTCTACTTGTGTTCGGATGAGATAGCATGATCTTGGCTAGTTTAGTTGTTCGCCGTTGACCCATAAAATACTGTACACTGGAACTTCCCGGTCCGGTTTAGAATCGCAAATTGTTCTAGGCAATTTGCCAAATCAACGATCAACGTACCTCCAAGACCTCCTCGACAGCACGACGAACCTCATCCACAATGTCAGCCAATATTGGTAGGGTATGTATCCTCCTCCTCCTCCTCCTCTTCCTCTTCGCTCTTTCCCTATACTTATATAAAAATTGACTGAGCCAGACTTCCCTGGCTTACAGCCGCACATGGCACCACGTTGATATGGGCCACGACCAGCGGGCCTTTGGACGTATCGCAACACAGATTGCAATTACCTTGATGGGCAAACATAAGCCTATTTATGATCCGAGTAGTCAGTTTCCCTCAATTCCTCGGACAGGAGTGAAACTTTCTGACGCATATGCGGGGGATTTGCAGCCGATTGCGGGGACTACGTTGTAGCGACGGGGTGTGCATACCTCAAGACCACCGGTGACAAACGTAACTTGAAGAAATACTATTCTCATTCGACCAGACCTGGTTCCTTGAAGGAGATCAGTATGGACAGAATGATCGCAAAGTATGGTGGTGCTGAGGTGCTGCGAAGGGCCGTTTCGGGAATGTTGCCAAAGAATCGGTTGAGGAGCGTACGGTTAGAGAGGCTAAAGGGTAGGTTGCTAGTCTCCTCTATTTTCTGATTTCCTGCTATACGCGGGCACTGATGTTCTACTCACTAATATAAACCTTTGGACAGCTTTTGACGGATTTGGTCACCCGTACAAGAAGAATTTGGTGAAGTTTCTTGACCCTTCACATGCTGGGCATGCCTCTAAGTCCAAGACACCAGTTACGGATGCTATTAAAGACTTGACACAGCCAGAGGCAGCAACATCAGCGACTCCATAAAGTTCTTGTTAAATAGAGGTTGTATATATTTATATTAAAGACTTCCGCTAATTCATGAAATAATGCAACATTCTAACAGATATATATGTAAAAAAAAAAAAAAAAAAAAAAAAACAGTACATAAATTTATGACATTATGCTCCCTGAATACAAATACTTCGTACACTCGAAATTTTTTCGGTATCAGGATGAAGCATAAATATAGAATAAAATACAATATTTACCACAATATCTCAAGAGAAATAGACTTATGAGAGATAGATCTAAAGTTTGGAGAGGACCTTCGAGGCCCCAGGTCTTGAAACGGTGCATTTAATCAGCCCATTAGGGTTGGATTGTGGGGCATAAACTTCCGCGTCTTTTCCTGTATTCTTTAGTCCGTTGAACCATTCGAGATCTGTGTTATTCGTCAGCCTTGCGCAACCAAAATTAGGCAACAACCAAAAACAAGGCTTTGTAACACCTAGTTTTTGATATGCTTGCTGCCATACTTGAAGTGACCTTATTGGTGGACTTACTGATCTCAAAATAATGTTTGTTTGGGAGCGAATAGTCCACATGATTTACTTGCGGAACTGCAGCAAGGATCTGATCTGCCATTTTGTACATGGTAGCTTGAACGCTAGCACTGTTGTCTTCCGCAAAGGTCTTCAAAGTGATGTCTCGGGCTTTCTTCCACGCGACATCGAAGTTAGGGATGAGCTTCCTGACGTCATCGAGGGTCTTGAACAAGTTCCATTCCCAGGTTGAATCAACCTCAGTGCTCAATATCCGATCCCGGGTTTCGCCCAAAGTTGTATATTCATCTCGTATGAAGCCGTGAAATGCGGAACCAGTGCTCTTCAACACAAAAAGCCCCTGGAGTCCAGATCTGATGGTAATACCAGTTTCTCTTCTGCATGTCACATCTACGTCCCTAGTTTCCGTGCCATCACGGAGGAAGGAATGAGGATGCGGTTTCCCATCAATGTTCATACGTGTCCATCGATGGGTAACAATCTTGACATGGGCGGCATGGATATGGGGATATTTTTCTGGGAAGTGTGAGGCCACGATGGAACCAAAGAGTTCTGGTGGCGTGACCGGATTTTGTTTTGCAAGAACTGTACCCCTGAATTAGCGAGCTGGAACATCACCAGAAAGAGCTCTCTACTCACTATAAACAGTGTTCTTCATTGTGTCGGTTGCGACCACAACACTGTTATCTGCCTTCGTGTACCTGCAATACTCATTTAGCTGACGTTACTCGTTTTGAAGTGAACCCGAGGGAACATACGATGTCTGGATATCACCCTCAAGCAAGACACAAACTGTCATCTCTGTGACAGTATGAGTATTTGTAGCCTCATCCCGGTGCACTTTGTATAGACGAATGTTGTCCTAAGCTCAAAGTCAGCAAGTGCACTCACGCGTTCGAAATGGCATTGGTTACGGTACCTTTCCATAGCGAGCTGCGGAGACTTGTGATGCCATTGCTGAAGTTATTGGAGGATTATATGGAGTGTAGAAGTTTGTAGAGAGCTTTAGGATGTGTATTCGATAGCTTCTAAGTGCTGCCTCCCCAAGAAGACGGCCCAGGGTTGCGGGAATCTGGGGTGTTATATAGCTTATCAGAGCTCTTCATTGTACTAAAGGAAATACATGTATCCATACAGTACCGTAGCCCTGTTCCAGCCCCCAACATGTTATTAGACTAGCATACCATTATCTTGGGCTTTTCAGGGACAACGATCAGCGGTGATTCCCTACGCGGACCATTGAAAAGTAATAGTTGTTAAGCTATGCTGTGTAGTTACTTCCGTTTCTAGGCGTTGGGTGCCTTCTGCTGCACGCTGATTGGTTTCCAAATTTTGCTGCGTCTCTTTTCGTCCCCTTCTAATATTTCTCAAGAGGCGGACCGGTACGCTCGGCTCGGAATTTCTGTACCTTAGAGAGGGCATCGTACGGCAACCGTTCGATATTTCTGCCAATCTAGCGGAGGTAGCCGCACGGCGATCCCCGCAATGTCAAACCTCCGTCTCCGCTGGTAGAAGAGTATCATCTCGAAGGGTATGGTCGGCTATCCTCCGCCCATAGGAAAAACGCTTGATATCTTGGCTCCATACTTCTTATCTGCATACATGATCACACACACACATGTCTACATACTTTTATTTGTGTAGGGCTGCTTTGTATCTCCCCGGAAATTTACAGAGAAGAGAACAAGTCCTGGCCATATGCGATAGCTGGTATTATTGATGTCAGTGAATCAACTTTGTTCTTTAGCATACCCGATGGTAAATACGGTACTGTATGTAGCTAGCTGTAGAAAATCTGCCTCCTACCATACCGGCCGGTTACGAGCCCACAGGTGTGGAAAGCCCCGAGGGAAGAGGTGGGTCGGACAGTCAACTTAAACACTCTGCCACATTGGGGATCGGGGATCAGCCACAGATGCAAAGACTTAAATCTGAAATCCCTTTACAATACTGCAGTGTTTAGAATTGTAAGAATCACCTATAACCCTTCGTGATACTTTATCTTGTAAGTTGAGGATGCCTGTGTAGCGGTATGAGCAGTTCCGTTTTGAAGGTTTCTGCGTTAGATACGCTGTCGGGACCGTTGTTTTCATGTTTTGGGCAACCTTCAGTGTTGTCTGTTCCCAGCCTCAACTCAACTTTAGCCTCCCCCCCCGCCATACCCCCCTCCAATCTGCCCAACAATCGACCCCGCGTCACCAAAAGCTTCGACGTATCCAAGCTTTGGAACGTCGTTTCATCTGTCCCGTGAACATCGTCGTTCCGTGACTGCCCAGTAACCTCCCCCCGTCTCTGGAAGCTCGGGCTGCCACAACGCGACTTGTTCTCCACCGTCACGGAAGACCGGGGCATCATACATTCTCCCGCCATCTCCCACGTTATCTCGTATATCCATGTTCAAGCTTCAATCGGAAGCTTGACCCGACCCTGATTCGAACAGGTGCTTCATGGGAGTGCAAACCATGTCCAACGTCTTCACTTCATCCCCAAAGTCGGTATCTGGAACTGCATCCCCCATACCCCGGCTTCGAGGTGCCAGCGGAGGTGATAGAGAAGTCTTACTTCAACCTCGTACCAATGGCATCAGACCTAGTGCTAGTTACGGCGGCGTCGCCGGTATGAGTGTTGGAGGCACGACTGTGAATGGACCGGGAAGCTTCAGTGCAAGTCTAAGGAGTGCGACTACCACTGTACCGACACCAAGTGGTCTTTCAGGAATAGTCGATACTCCGAGCTCAACGAGTCCATTAACTTCGGAGAGATTGGTCGAGGAGCTTACCGATCAACTTAACAGAGCTATCAAATACAAGGAAGGAGCTGAAAATCTGCTGCAAGTTCTGGATTCAAAAAAGATCAAAGAAGCAAAACAGGCACGAAACCAGGCAGAGAAGGAGTACAATGCCAGAAATCAAGAGATTACACAACTCAAAACCCAGATTGAGGCGATAACAAAGCCAAAAGATATTCCACGGAGGCCACGAGAAGGAAACAAGTTCCAGGGGACGCCTATAAGGCCGGACGAGGCAAATGGGATTTCTGTGTTAGGTACATCGGAGTGGGATCCCGGGAGTGAATCGCCGACAATAACGCTCGCGGAGCTATTGGGGGATTTGGAGGAGAAAGACAAAAAGCCGGAGTATTATGTGGACAAGGCTAATAGCTTGGTCATGCTGTTCAAACGGCATCAAAATCTCAAATATGAATTGTCGTGGTCCACTTTCGGGCTTAGGGTTCAGTTCATGCTTCTTCACGAGGCCAAAGAAGTAGTTGCGGCTGGTTACCGTATAACGAGATACGCTATTACTGATCTTCACTCGCTCAGAAGTATCAGGAGCTTGCGAACAGACTATATTACTATTGGGTACGGAATTTTTACAATCAGCTTTTGTAGTACCATATACTGAACTCTTTTGTCTAGCTCATTAATCAAAGATTCGAGGGCCAATGTGGAACGTGAACAAGCGTTAAAGTTTGTACGTGCATTCATAGAAGTCCCTGGGGGGGTCAAAGAAATCTCTAGAGGGATTGTTCGAGGCATTGTTGCATGTGCAGAACAAACTGATGATAGACTACGAGCAATTTCTATGGAAACCTTGGCAGAAATTTGTAAGCTCGTTCCCTCAATTCCCCACAAATCTTTGTTAATCTTTCACGCAGTGATCTTGGACCCATCACTTGTTGTTGCTGCTGGGGGTGTTAGAATACTTACCCAAGTTCTTTCGGATGGGCCTTACGAACTTTCGGATACGATATCATTGGCGTTTTTGTATTTATTGGACATGCCTTCTTCGAGAAAATATATACGACCAGGGAACGATATAGAGGTTAGTCATATACCATGTTCTGAAGGTTATTTGGCTCTGATATTCATGGTATCAAGGTTGTTTTTTCGGTGTTCACGGATTGTCATTCAGTAAAAGTTCCAGTTCCAGAAGAGAAATTGAAGTCTAGCGCAAAAGTAATCAGTTGCATGCTCAAGTCATGGCCAGGTATGCAACACCGAGGTCCGGTCGGAGAGATATATCTTTGTTCTAATCGCAACCGTAGGCCTCCTGGCATTAACAATGTACAATCTACGTGCTCCAAGATCTCTAGTTGATGCGCTATTCATACCATCTCCTAGCGTTAGAGTATATCTCCCCTTCACTAACTATGGACCCGCCCGAGACCTGCTAACAGTTTTAAGGACACAATACTCGAGTTGTTTTTTGACATCTTTAAGATTAAACCTCCTTCGTGGTCCTCTAGTTTCCTCGCTGGTCGTCGGCTTACTAGTAAGTGCCTAGATACCCTGCAGAGAACTGATAGTAAGATTATGTTTCCTAACTCACTTACCAGCCTATGGGAGGGTGGCCAATCTCAAATCGGAAGCGTCCACAAAGCCCGCAAGATCAGAAGGAGATAGCAATCATGGAAATCTGGTTGATCACTTCACAGCTCTGCTACTTGCAGTATTCTTTGAAGCAGGTCTGCTAAAAGTTAGTACCTGAGTCTATCACAGCAAATCCTGCCACTAATGTAGAAATTTAGGCTTTGATGGCCTTAGTAGAGGATAACAGTGATCCAGCAATAGTTCGAAAAACCACTCTTCTCCTTGGGGAAGTTTTAAAGTTAGCCAGCCGCCTACTTCCAAGCACTTACAGTGCACATCAACAGCTTCTTCCCGATCTCTTTCAGTCTGCGGCAAAATTCGGCATCGATGGCCGGTTTGCTGCTTCTTCCGCTGTCTACCAAATCGATAGTCTTAACAGGACATTGCATCGCTCTTTGGCAACCCAGACCGCCCAACGCACCTCTCTCGATGAAGAGAAAAGAGGTCAGAGACAGGTAGAACTAAAATTGAAGATAAATATGACAATCGATGAAAAGCACTTTTCACAACTAATCGTCGAAAGCGGGGTACAAAATCTTTGACAGACTGGTTTAAGACTTATGACTAACTAAATCCTACAGGTTTTGAACACGAAAAGCTACATTAAGTGGAATTGGGATTCCCTAAATGAGATGATTCAAGGCCCATTGCTCAATCCAAAGAGACTTGAAGAGGCGATTAAGGGAACTAAATTCATGAAGAGGTTAATGTCTTTCTACCGACCGTTCAAGTACAAGTTCTCGGATGTCAAAAACACAAAACCCAACCAGCGGTATGTTAGGATAGGGTGTGCTCTATTCCAAACTCTTTTAAAGACTGCCGAAGGCGTCAAATATTTGAGTGAAAATAAGATATTAAGGCAGATCGCTGAATGCTTGGCACAATTGGATCGAGTGAGTTTACAAGATCCAAATAACACCCACTTGCATTGGCAGAGATTAATAGATACTAGATGAGCGGAATCACCTCCCCTGAACCGCTTTTTTCCACCTCGAGATTGGCAGACACCCTAAGCAGTGGCTATTTCGCTATGCTGGGAACATTGAGTAGTGATCCGAAGGGTCTTCAGTGGGTTACTCCTGTCAATATCTATAGTTGTAGCTAATTTTCTCGCAGAATGATGGAACGCTGGCGCATGTTCAATATGTTCTACCATATCAGCGATTTACCTGATAGACCAGACCTGATGGAACTATTTGTTTTAAATATGGATTTTACTCTGTATGGAACCAGTGATCTGATCTATATATCTTTATATCCTTAGTCGAAACATACTAATTCCATACATTAGGGAGGGTCATCCCCGAATCATTCTTGGGAAGGTTTTAACTGCGGGTCCAAAGGTGATTTTCTCCATCTTATGACTGGCAGAAAGAGGCTTGCCTGACTGTTTTTAGACCGCGCGGCTATTTGCCACTAACCATCTCCGAAGTCTTATTTCAACCACATCTGCCGGGAAAACACCTTCACAAACCCAGCAAAGCAATGAGACAGCAGAATGGGCAATAGGACTTCTCATGACTCAGCTTTACGACCCTGATGTCGAGGTTTGTGAAACTGCGGTAAAAATTCTTGAAGAGGCTTGCAATGCGACACATAACCTAGAATATGTGGTTAAACGCCGGCCACAGCTCGATCATCTGGGTGAAATCGGTGCACCGCTACTATTGAGGTTTGTGGCTCACCCTCGATCTGGATGATGTTAGTTGACGATTTTGTTAGATTTTTATCGACATCCGTGGGCTACCATTACCTAAATGAGCTTGATTACATCAACAGGGAAATGGATGATTGGTTTCATGTAAGTTATTCCTGGTGAACCATTTTCTTTCTCTGGCCGTGATGGACTGACATTTAGCCAGGGGCGTAATGATTCGTACGTTCTGACTGTTGAGGCGTCACTTGCGAGAGCTTTTGCCGATGAAGAGCCTGTAAAGAAGCGCCCAGGTGATATCAATGCGATAGACCGAGACATGATGGGCATAGTACCCCCGCATTTCTACCGAGAACTAGCCAGAACAAGCGAAGGATGTGTCCTGCTGAGAGAAAAGGGCCATTTTGACCAATTTGCGTGGTTTATTCAAAAGCACGGCTTGGAGGATGATGACTTGGAGATCGTCACTAAGGTCAAGGGTTGCCTATGGGCCGTGGGAAATATTGGATCAATGCCCTTCGGAGCTCCGTTTTTGGATGAAGCAAACATCGTTGAAGCGATTGTCAAGATAGCAGAGCAATCTCAGGTGCTAACTCTCAAAGGTACTGCATTTTTTGTCTTGGGCTTAATCTCAAAAACCATGCAAGGCTTAGAAATCCTTCTCGAACACGGGTGGGATGGTACCACTTCTACTATGGGGGATTCTCTGGGGTTTTGCGTACCGTTGCAGCTTGGGCGCTTGTTCTCTGTAAGTCTTATCCCAGTGCACGGCAAGCCCCACATCTACAGACTGGCAAGCTAATCTATATACAGCTCCGACCCTGGGTACATACGGGTGACGAGACCAACGCAGTCAACCGGCCGTCACCACTGTCATCTGTGATTGGTGACGATCCACTCGACGCAAAGATACTCACGGCCATCGCGAACCTGAACAACCACATTATGGAGGGCACATCTACGAAGGAGTTGAACAGGTCAGGAATTTATGTCACCTTACCTATAGACTGAGCTAACAGTAAAGATTACAGGCTGAAAGCGAATCATGTGTCCCACTTTCAGAGCTCTGATCTGTATCGCCGAGTCATGACGTTACTAGAATCGTATCGGTATCGACAGCATGTCCGACGGTATATCATTGACCTTTTTGACAAGTCTGTCGTGGAACAGATAGTAAGGGATGGAAGAGCAGAGCAGGATTCTATAGAATCGCCGCAGACACCCGAAGACGTGCGGTAGTCCTTTGAGTCTTTCGAATGGTCTCTTCCCGGACATTTTTATCTATTTTTGAGCTTGTAAAATACGAGATGCTTGTACTTTTAAAGACCGCGTTTTATGTGGCTGGTTGGGTTATGGGGGTGAACGGGTTCGGCAAATGGAGGGGTTTTTTTTTTTTTTTTTTGGCGTAAAGTACATAGCTCAATTCCATCCTGTCACGTTTCTTATCCCATGGACTCTAAGCTTAATGCCAAGTCAATGGTTACTATTCTGACAGAAGCATTGAGTGCGGATATGCAAGTCTATACTTACCTATTATGTAGAGTGGTTACTTATTAAGCTACAAAGGAACCACCAAGCCACAAACCTTATGAATTGCAAGTCGTTAGATTCTTACCCAGGGATCACTGCATCAGAAAAACAAACAATGCGATGGAGGACGATGGATGATGGACGATTTCGGGACACTTACATTAAAGGACGTTTGCCTTTCTTGCTGGGTGAAGAGCAGAGAACCGAGGAATGATGCGTCTTCTGGATCAAGGATAGATGCTCTGCTGAGCGGTTGAACAAAGATGAAGGACAAGAAAGATCGACGCATACTGTATTAAGCGAGCTGTCGCCCAATCCCCAGGGCTGGTGGCTGAATGTATGACGCGCAGACCGCGTTCACACATTCTCACATTACATACCCTGTTTCATGCAGGACGTACATACATACATGTACATTGCACATGTGTATTTAATACGCAGGTCTTCCAGATACCGATAGAGTACATACATGTACCAACTCTAGAGTACACCTACGGACTCCTTTCCTTTTATTTCTTTTCTTGCGATGATCTCCTATCTAAGTGAGGGTTGTAGGTTTTGTGGATTTTTGTGGGTTGTGTGGAGTACCACACTCTGTTTTAGAGTATTCACGGGGCCCATCTAAATATGATGCGGTAATCTACTTTAATCTAGATTCCAGACGGAAGAGGAGAAGGGGTGGTCCTTTTGAATAAATTTCCGCGTGTTTGATTCCCCCGAACGTGTCATGAGTATGAGGTTGTGTAGCCTGATACATCTGGATACCCTGTTATATTTTGTGCGTTACAAGTGCGTGGTAACGCATGTCAATACGTTATCTGTAGGAACAACCGGGTGATCCGTAGGGAAAGGAGTAAAGCAACATCCAGTGACAAGAGTAAATAAAAACGTGAAAAATAAATGATAGGGCAGTCGGGCTGAAAGTGTATGTCTGCTGTGCCATTCAAAGTATGTATATGTATTTTTATTTTTTCTCAAAGTACCAGATGGAGTATGCGTGTGAGAGTGATGAACTGTGGTGTGTGTTGAGTGTTTATGTAGACTACCATAAACGTAGTAGCGTATGCACACCAGGTGTGGTACCTGAGCCTGTTTTGGGAGGATATTGATGAGTCTTGTGTGTGTGTTGCTGTTGCTGGCTCGAAGGGTTCCTAACGAGTTAGGTCTGGCGACGAGGGCAGAAAGTCTCGATCGCAGCACAGAGTCCTGATCCGTGAAAACACATCGAACTCTTAATCCGAGATCACGCTTGCTAGGCATCGCTCACTTACTTCCTTCCTTCCCTACACTCGTCTGCTTTGTGAATGGCCCAACCAGCTGCCACTCTCCAGGACAAATGTCCCTGCCTAGAAGGTGCAGCCGGCTTTAGTTCTCTGTATGGAGAATATTAAACAGGTACAGTACGTAGTTTACAGGGCTCATGAGGTTCAAGAGGACAAAGGAACTGGGGAAACAGGGATCCCTCTTGTACCTCTTATGCTCCTGAGGCCACAAGGAAGATATGCCAGAACGGGAATGGGTACAAGTAAAGGAAGAGAGTGGAATGGGAGTGAAGAGAGGGGGAGTGAGGTGATAATTAATGATGCGAGATCTATGGCCTGGAAACACGGGGAGGTTATGAATAAGTACCTCCAAGAATTGCAAAATACAGTACGAACAAGCCATGTAACATCGATACTCAGTTCCTTTCTACCTATCATATATGTTAAATAAAAAAATAAAATATATCCGTCCTGCTAGATCTAGCTATCCCCTTGCCAATTGTTATTCCTTGCCTCTCTCTTCTTTTCATCATTGCTGGTCCAACAACAGCCTCTTCTCATCGGAGGACCCAGTACCAGTGGTCGATCCCCAATCGAGATCGAAGACTTCAATCGGCTCCCCCCCAGTAAATCCACCCCCCTCGCCCTTCTCTTTCTGCTTATGCTGCTCTCTCCCCTCACCTTACTCGTCCCACTAAGATACATGTACTTCAGACCAAAACACTGGTTTAGATACATGTAAAATAAAATACATTTCCAGTTCCTAAAGTGACTGGATACGCCTCGCAGCGATAGACGGCATTTTCTCCAAGAACAGTCTGTCACGTCTCGAAACTGCTAAAAGGAACTCACTTCTCCCTCCTTCCATCCTTCAAAAATACGCCCCCCCCCCCCCCCCAATATCTGTGGCAAAGATCTTTTTGTGCGGTTTATCACGAGCCACTACCTCATTGCTTTCTCTGTTTTGCTTTTCTTCATATCATCAGTGCCCCCGAGGATCATTCTTTCCGTCATTTTTTCTACCACAAGCCAGCACCGTTACTACTGCCGCCATTGCTACCAGCACCGTTACTACTGCCGCCATTGCTACCACCACCATAAGCAGCAACACTACTACAATTACCTCCCAACTCCTTTAAAGACACGCTCTTCCTCCCATTGCCCCTCACCCCCCCCCCCCCCCCTTTCTTTTCTCCCACTTTCTATATCCTCGACTCCCCTTCTTACTTGCCGCTGCCTTTCTCCCACGCACCCGCCCCTCTTGCATGCTGGTCAGCAGGGACCGCTTCCTTAATAAATAGGCCTGGGGTAGCTATCTTCGTTAAATGCACTGGACCTAACGTAGGGCAAAGGGCACTTGACTAGCCTGACGGTAATATATACGATTTTTTGCAATGGAGAAAGTTATGGTTTTGGGGGGTTATTCTGAGGAGCCTGCTTGTGACGGGTTTCATGATGCTCGGGCCATTGTACGGCTTGCGCAATGTTCTGTCTGTTCGCTTCCTCTTCAGCAACCCCGGACACTTCCCTGTGGGAACTCGATATGTCTTCGGTGTCTTCCCCAATTCTACTTGCGACAAAACATATCTTATCCACCATTACCAGGACGACAGGAAGGATTTGAGTGTCCGTTTATGGAATGTGGGAAAGAACATTCGGTTGCAGACATTGCGCTAGATGTAACATTATCGAAGGTGACGGATATCTTTGAGAAGGATCTAGGTTGTCATCGTTCGGAGGCATTTCCTGTGGAGGTTAAGGAAATTTTGGATTTTGAAATATCGGACGTCGAATCAGATGGAGGTGAAAATGTGGAACGGAAATGGGTGGTGAGCGGTGGGCGTTTGATGGCTATTTACACGCTTGTGAGGAAAGCCGAACTTCCATACGACACAGATGTCACCTGCACGTCACTTCTCCCGGATGGTTGCGACTCTGCTGCCTTTGACCGGGAGCTTGTGCAAACTTTAAGGACAAAAATCATGTCGGAAATGGAATGCCAAGTTTGCTATGGACTTCTTCTAGATCCAATCACTACATATTGTGGACATACATTTTGCCGGAAATGTCTGGAGCGCGTACTTGACCACTCACAGCATTGCCCTGCCTGTCGACGGCAGCTACATCTTCCAAATGTTCTCCCGGCACAATCAAGCAACAAGCGTCTAACAGATATATTAGTGGGTCTATGTTCAGAGGCTTTGGCACATAGAGCAACAGCTGTAATGGAGGAACTCTCTGCTTCTGAAGACGACGACTTGAATACACCAATCTTCGTATGCACAGCCTCTTACCCTGGTATGCCGACACCTCTACATGTTTTTGAACCCCGCTACCGATTGATGATACGACGAGTATGCGAGAACGGTACTAGGAGATTTGGCATGCTACTACCAAATCGATCTGGACAACCGCAAGGGGAACTTGGCGTTGTACCATTCATGCAATATGGAACAATGCTCCAAATTGAAGGTGCTAATATGTACCCGGATGGCCGCAGCGACATCTGGACTGTAGGAATCTCTAGGTTTAGGGTCAAAAGATGGGGGATTCGTGATGATTATATGGTCTCGGATGTTGAGCGGGTGGATGACATTCCGCATATTGACGAGGAGGCTCTGGAGGTGTCTGATACTTCGCTGCGCATAAACTTATCCCCGGATCTCTCACCTCCGTGGACACGACTTCCGACCCAATCCCTTCTACAGATTGGGCACAATTTTGTCGATCAAATGCAAGCAATCTCCGCCCCATGGCTTCACGAGAATAACATTCTTGCTTTCGGGAACCGACCCGACGATGCAGCAATGTTCCCGTATTGGCTTGCGAGTGTTCTGCCAGTTGCGGAGGATGAAAAGTACCGTCTTTTGGTGTGCACTAGCGTGAGGGAGAGGCTTAAGATAGTGGTTGGATGGATAAAAAAGATTGAGAGCCATCGATGGTTAGTTGTACCCAATTTACATGAAAATTTAACTGATGCTAACTTTCAATTACAGGTTCTCTCCATCTACCTGTGCGATTGTTTAAAATCTGGACATTACATTTCGTCCGGATATATAGACCAGCGGCTGTTCTGATAGTTTCATCATATGTTGTCCTACGTTTCTTCATCTTCATGGTCGGATATCTGCTTGCTTGTTTGTTTTATTCTTTAGGCGCACTCTGGAGCATACTACGTTAAATTTCTTTTTTTATTTGGGGCATGGTTCGGGTTTTATTACTTGGGTTCACTTTTCACGGTATATGATCTTTATTCTGTTTTTTTTTATTTTGTAGGGGGGTTTTCAAAAATATCTGTAACAAAATTTAAAGATAAAAACTTCTGACCTATAATAGTTAAAACTATTCCTATTTATTTCAATTTGTGCTTCTAGTTTCTGATTACTGTCGTGGTTGCTTACCTGTACTTTTCTTCGTTTGGGGTTTTAGAATGATATCGAGAATCATGCATGATCAAGAGTAAGCAGATGAACGAATGATATTCTGTGATCGGTTCACTGAAATAGTTTTTCAGGGGCACTCCTTGGACGACTAGACCGTTAGCTGTAGATGGCCCTCCGACTTTGCCCTTCCAGGATGTTAATATCTTACTACCTCAAGTGCTAGTGGTGTATATTACAGTATTATATTCGCACGCACGGACAAACAGTGCATGAAACCTTGTTTTGAAAAATTTCAGAACTTAAAAACGATAATCCGCACAATGTACGAGTACATGCGCGCCTCTTTGAGGATACCGCGCGGTGATGTCTCCTTACTCTATATCTAATGACGATTATTTTTCTTCTCACATGCTGCTTCCTATCGGTGGGGGGGGGAATCATACATGCAGCTGTGCTCTTTTGGGGGCAGAGTAGACGTAGGCATGTGATGCATTGGGGATATATATCGAGAGCTGATAACGGCCCTGCATGAATACGTAAGTACGTAGCTCAATTGGGAGACTAAGTCGATTTACCCTTGTGAGTTCTGATCTCTTCTCTAGAGCTTGATGCCCTTGAATCGCGGAATTGTACACATGTGGGATACCACGGCGAAACAGCTTCGACCATGGATTCCGGGTTATTTTCCATAAAATTTTCCGTTTCAATTCCTAGCTATGCTTGGATGTCAAGTACCGCATGTAGCCTTCGGTACCTTGGTACACCTCTGTCTACACGTATCTAGTCCATCTTCAAGTATTGACCTGAGGCAATCTAACAATTAGCTATTGGCCCACAACAGAGTTAATAATACGTATATACTCCAATCTTTAATATAACTTCAGCACCTCCTGTGTCATATTGTGCCTCATGACCAGTAAGCTCCCTCCCTTATTCTCCTGTTGTTGTTTCTTATCGATAACGGATTTTTTTTTCCCTTAAAAAGAAAATATGCTCCATGCATGCGTGATGCGTGCAAGCCTTCCCCCAGGCTAATCTCAACCTGTAAGCCAAGCCAAGAAATCTAAACCCATAACAACAAGGGTTCGGGTTTTAAACTGGTGAACTTGTTCATGAAGCAGGTACCTCGAGTACGAGTACTGCCGAGCTGTTTAGCTACCCTGGCCCTGATCCAGAGGTTGTGATTCAGAGTTCAGATCGCGGATAGCAAATTCATTGACCACTTACCTCCTCCTCTACTCTATGTAGCTTTGTTGGCTTTTTTTTTATTTTTTCATTGTTTGTTCCGTGCCGAAGTGGAGTGGGTAAGGCATTCCCCGTGGCTTACATGTCACGACCGAGCTGCCGGAATAATGTGGCTGTTTGTTGTGATCACTGATAACTGTCAAATTCTGGCCATGATTTCGTAATCATTCCAGGTTCAAGACGATGACCTTATCTACTTCGAGGCACACCTACAGAGGAGACATTTCGGATTAGCGAGTGATAGATGATGACTTTGCCTACCTTGCTCGGGTGCGGTTGCGCGGGATGTAGTTCGGTTTGCAACAATTGTTTACGCTTCGTCCAGTTTTAAATTTGCGACTCCATAACCGGCCCCTGTGGTAATATCCTCTAGACCACTAAAGCACTGGGCTTGAAATCCAACCATGTCGCAACGCTCCTTTGCCGGTGCGAAATTTGCTTGTAAAAAGAAAATACTTGACGAGTAGTTAGATATGTCAACTGCAGATCAAAAGCATATAGAGCCATCTCTGGGGGCATAAAAGTACTCACTTGTATATAATTGCTAGGTGTCGTCCACAGGTGAAACTTAGACCACAAGGTTACAAACCATGGGCAGATTGATAGCAAAGGTTTAATAAAGTGAAACAACCCGGGGGTGCGTTTTTTTCCGAATAACACGCCATGACAGTTCCGTCTTTGGCCCTAGCATCACATCAAAGTAAGTTGGAAGCTGTTCGATCCTGTGGTTGATAGAACCGACTCAGGGCATTGTTATTTAAAAACTTACGACCATTTTTGACTTTCTAAGCTGCCCCTCTCAAAGTCGGAAACGGTGTAGAATGGAATTAGCAACTTCATTGAATTTGTATTAATGATAACTACATTTATCCGATAGATTGCTGGTTAGTCTCGAGATATTAGAATTCACGTTACTGTACATACTGTTGGTAGTATTGCGGGATACGAGTTTATATTGTTCTAAATATATGGTTGGTTGCCGTGAAAACTCTGAGAATGTCTAGAGCACATTCTACTCGAGCTAGATAGCTGCCAATAGGTGAGAATATGGCATGATTTGATAGGCTAGGATGTTCTTGATATCAGTGGTAAGGTTTGAGGTTTATTCTCTCCCTCGTTTATCTTAACGTGTCATTCGCTCACGAAACGTGTCTGTCTCCGCATTGTTTTCTGTGTAATTATATTTGTCGTTGGCTACAAGTAGGTACTGTGCATGTAGTTAAGACCAACAGAGTAAGAGCGTCACATGGGCCAATCACAAATCACATTTGCTAACGATGGTTAACACCCGAAGAATATCAAACGGATTCCTTGAGTGCTCGCGATTTGTGTTTTTAAACCGGCAAACGGCATCTCACTATGCCACTACTTGCCAGTGAGACTTGAATCCTGCCAGGCCCGATATGGACAAAGGGATGATACATAGATGGATCCAGCGTTATACTAATATGTCATGGAGGACATAGCGCAAATATACCAACTGAAACTCTCATCTACATGTTCTGCCTCAACTGTATAAACTTTGCCATGGGCCGAACTGGCTCTCTAATAAGCGGTTACACCGGAAACCCCGTTAGAAATCTACCAGATGGTAGGCCATAGTCATGTTTCAGATACGATATCATAAATAACACGATAGTGATAGTCATGTAATATAAAGCACATATTCGAGGAATGGATCGTGGTCAACTCGGTTACATAAGTTGGCCCAATATAGTCATCTCAAATCCTCTTATCTGATATTATTAGAAGACCTAGTTCATGTCTCAAGTTCAGCAAGTCAACAGGATGGATAGCTACAGCATTCATCCTGCTTTATCGCAATTCTTGTACATATTATTTTAATTTCCCTTATATTTAATCAATCGAGGCAAATGATGATTACTTGCAGCTCTTCACTACTACACAGGGCCAGGCGTTGACTTGGATTCACTAACTACCGCATTGCAAGTAGTTCGAGTGATTAATATAGTATGTCTGAGTGATCCTTATTACGTCACTTGATCTAGCAAAACTACACAGCGCATCAATTAAAAATAATCGTGATTTTATATCGCAGCAAAGCGGGCAAAGCTTTGCGCTGTGCAGTCATAGCCTCTCACTCGGTATAATCGATATCACTATCGATACGCATATTACCGCAATACCTTGGGGCTTTTCACGGCTAGAGGTTACTGTAGAATATCCCAAATATATAGATAGGGAGCCACTCGAGTGCTCCCTAGCCCGCGGCTACAGCGGCTGCGGTATTGTGGCCTATAAGTAACCACTTAGCTAAAGCCCCTAAAAATATACGAATAGCTAGGTGTCGCAAATTCGAGCGCTATACTCCCCAGAATTCATACTTAGATGTTCCCAACATACCGTAGACTCTGATTAAAGCGGCGATCTAGAGTCAAATACATTCGACGCGCCTGATCGACATTTGTGTAACCGGCCGCGGGAAACTTCCGCCAGTGATGTATCCTTGTCTACAAAGTACGCCTTTTTCTCGAATAGACTAATGTGAATAAAATCTTTGAATGGAGGCACTTGTAAATAAATTTTCGTAGTTTCAACAGAATCTTAAATCCCAAGGTTTCTACTCTACCGGTTTATGAGATTGAAACCGTCTAGAACTTATAGATTTCTGTCCATTTGTTATTTCATCCCTTGCGGTATCACAGATCATACTAAAGGGTTAGCATTCGGGAACATTTCACTGGTACGGGTAGATTTCGCACTGGAAATATTTTACCAAACCATACTATACGTATATGTGGCATAACAAAAGCCTCAGAGAATACCGCCTATATCGTAAAAATCGCCACATGGAATGCAATGTGCATATGCTGTTTGCGAGGCCGCATCATATCCCAACGGCCCACAGATCTACTCATACAGATAACAATGATCTCGGTTTGACTCGACCCTACGATCCCGATACCATCCTAGAACCTTAGGTGTGGTTGTAAGTCTGTATGGACTATCGATAGTACAGCGGCCAGCTAAACTTTTAATGGCCAGATGCCTGGATGGTCTTGGGTGCATACCAGTCCAGTATTGTGGCTCATCGAATAGAAAAGCATTATTCGAATCGTGTAATTAGAAATTTGGCTAGCCCGAGTTAGCAGACCATCAATGACCTGTATAGATTGTACACTATTACAATTAACATTTGGGCGGTCGGAATATGGGATCCGGAGGAACACCTTCAACGCACAAAATAGTAGATGCCTAAGATTTTCGGGATAGGTCCTTCGCCAGAGCCAGACACAAAAGTGACCTTCTATATAACTGTCTGGATGTGAGGGAGTTGGAATCATATTAGTCAAAAACGAATAGTTGGGGTGTTCTCTATGTCAAGGGATGTTTGGCTGTAGGGCCCGCGGGGTTTAAGCTAAGGAATTTAAGGTTTGCACGGATGCATTAACTTTGGGTTACATCATACTTGTTGTTCACTAGTGTGGGAACGTCTCTTCGAACCAGCTTGCATCTTCTTGGCGTCCGATTCTGGGGGTAGATATCTACCGAGTGATGACCTGTGAACGAGACAATCGCTGACATTAATCGTCCCATATTCACGGTGTTCGGTAAGAGATTAGATCACTATAATGATTGTTACTTGTGGTATCTGGTGTTTTCAGCACCTCAAGTCAGATGTCTTATGTCAGAAAGGGTACGTACTCACAAGCGCCACATACCAGGATGCTTAACTTACGTGTGATTATTATATATAGCTCTTCACGGCTCAAGCTGACACATCTATGTCATGTTCCCCAAGCAGCGCTTGACTGCTACCTAGTACCACAATGCGTGTAGCTTACATGGGTTGCGATGATGATGTCTTCTGATAGCCCTTCATGGTTTGTCACTCGTTTAAGTGGTTGTGCACGGCAAAAACACTGATGGCAAGCGGTAATTCACCTCACGTCGGTTTTACCGATCTATCACTATACGTTTTTAAGCGTTTATCTTATAAGTACCCTTTTCCCTATGTATACAGACATATGCGGGCTGTCGTCTTTTAGTCAATGATTGAAGGAACTCTAAACGAATTGCTCCCCAGCAACCCCAGCAACCCAGCAACCCCGCAACTTCGAGGTTTTTTATTTGAAGTATTTTCCCAGCTACTATGAATCATGTCTTAAGCGTTGATCATATACGGAAGTCCTCAAAACATCTAAACTCTTTGCTCTCATGCTCCCTTTATCGATGCACGGGAAATGTACAGCATAGCTGGTTATTTGTATTTCTCAGATCCTATTAGATTCGTTATACCATTCTCCGTGATTGATATTATACTTTAAACGCACGTAGAACCACGGTTCGGTAACGATATGCCTGACAACATCGTGGTTCAGGGCGTTAATTAAACATCGGCAATAGGTTGAGTTTAAAGACGGCCAGTTAGACCAAATTTTCCTTCCTTCTACCCCACTCACTGATGCAAGTAAGCACATACACATAAAACATAACGTCAATAAGGAAGCGGCTGAACTCTTGAAATCGCCTGTTTTCAAGCAGAAGTGGTGAGGTGCAGAAGAACAGCCAAATGACTGTGTTGAGGTTTGGGTATGTATGCACGTATTTCGTTGCAAAGCTCTGAAGATCAAGGCACCAAAACACAAATCATTCAGGCCATCCTGGCTTGAATGATTTGTGTTTTGGGCGCAGGGCTGTGGATCGATTAACTGGTTTACCTGGTTCACGGAACGCATGAACAGGATGATTTTCTCTGCAGAAGACCAGTGTGGTTCTTACCGGATGAGTTTATTGGGGAGGGGTTTGTGCATGTAGGTGAAGTCGAAGGTCGAGAGGGGGGTAAAGTGCTGAAGAGGCGTTTTAGAGTGGGACAGATTCATCCCAACCGCCGATCAATAGATATCAGAGGCGCTCTTCTTGTGACAGTTGGCGCTGGATATCAGTTTCATGATACCAGGTTTGTCCACCAAAACCTCGTGCCACCCTGTTTCGAGTTTTGGTCACTACTTTATGCGCGACACAGCCGATTTGAAGCTTGAACTGCTAAGCATCAAACGCTAAATAATATCTGGGGCGATAGGAGATTTCTACCATTACAACCACCACTACATGTATCGCCATTTATGTTTACTCTAGATCTATCAAACAGAACAAAAGCATGCATATTGTTGTATATAGCATAAATACAACTTAACGCCATGTTCCACCCAGTAAGCGCGGTACAGTTAATTACATGTAAAAGTTACCTAACTTGCAAATTTGCTTGCCCTCCTAACCAGCACGGTACACTGAGTTATGAAATGAGTTCGAAGAGGACAACGATAGCTACTAAGTACATGTACATACATAGCTGCCGAAGTAACCGTGGGGACGCGTGGGAAATGCATGGTATTATGTGGGTTTTAGCATCATTTCCCTCTACCCGAAGAGTGTATTGGGATAGCTAGTCGAGGAGACGAGCAATATCAAGGTATCACGGCTTCAAAGACCCGAATAATAATTTCGTTTTCCGAGCGTCGTGCGTAAGTATCTAACTACACCAGTCAACCAACTACTGGCTAGGAAGCCAGCAAGCCATCAATCATATCATTGGCACAGACTACATGTACTGAACTCGCCCAACAACACACTCCTATTCCCCCTCTCTTCCTCAGACTCTCCTCTTCCTTTCCCATCGTCGCCTCTTTGCTTTGTCCTTGACTCCAGCTTCAGTATCTTTGCGTTACAATCAGAAACAGACTGCCTCCCTAACTAACAGGGCTCTCTCTCGAGCTTGCTGCTGCTGTTACTACTGCTTTTCTGGAGGCTCCTTGTCGTAGTCTCCCACCCCACCTTCCTCGATCTCACCCGTATTGTCCCAGGAGGCTGTTGCACCGTAGACAGCCCTGTAAGCGCCTGTTATCGCGTGGTAACTGACCATTGTGCTCCATCTCGCATTCAAATTGGACCCTGTTCCCGCCGGCTGAGTTGTTGGGCCTTTCTCTCTGCGTTCCCCGGACCAATTCCGTTGCCGTTCTCTCTCTGATCTGGGACATCCAGCGATATACTGGCCCCCAACGTACTCGTCTTTCGACAACTTACTTTTTGTTTTCGCCTCACCTTCATTTCCCTCAGCTTGCCATTAATTCTTATTCATTAATCCAGTCTCTCCCAACACAAGTTTCTTAGACCCTTTACTCGAGTGCTTTGGACTTGACTCT